TTTTCCCATTCTCTTCCCACATAGTTTTTCCCATCTTCTTCCCACATAATTTTTTCCATCTAGTCCCCACATAGTTTTTCCCATCTTCTTCCCACATAGTTTTTTTCAACTTCTTCCCACATAATTTTTCCCATGTACTTTCCACATAGTTTTTCCCATATACTTCCACTTGTGTGAAGATAGCCTCCCAACATTGAAAAACAGTAAAGTTTCTATAGCTCATTCGATTGCTCATCGTTTGCACATATATGCACATTTGAAATTTTCGTTTGCACACTTCTAATAGAAAAGTTATTAACAAAACAAATTTCGGGGGGCCATCTTCACACTAGCCCTCCAACTATGAGTAAATTAAATAAAAAATAGCTCAATTGATAGATATTGGTTTGCACATTGCCAAACAGGTCGATTTTTCGTTTGTACACCTCTAGTTAAAAAGTTATTAACAATTAAAGTTTCAGAAACGAGCGACTTCGGCAGATGAAATAGAAACAAGAATGTGTGAAACTTATAGAAACTGTTTTTCAATGTTGGGGGGCTATCTTCACACAGGTCTCTCAGATTGCTCTCTGACCCGATTTAGAGGCTTTGGTGGAAACTAGATTTGAGCCTTGTGTATGTCACTGACTAATTTCTAGCCCCGTGGACATGAGGCTTTATGCTTGATACGTCATCTGCACAACGTGAAACGCTGATTGGCAGCGGCACCGTCACGTATCTTTATATCTATTCGTTGCTATGTAAATCGTTCCTGCGTGAATAGCCTAACTTTTTCATATTGAGAGGTTAACTCATCGTTCCCGTGACAGGCATTTTCACTGTGTCTGTCAATTACATTGAGACGGCGGATAACAGGAGCAAGTTATAGAAATGGAGTGCTTGATTGGTATTCAGTGCAAAGATTTCGTCCTAGTTGCTGCGGATATGACAACCGCACAGTCTATTATAGTTATGAAAAGCGGTAAGATGCGTGTCATGCATATTATAAAATTCTTACCCTCGATGATGCATGTTTATGTATATAGATATATGTATAGTAAATATTATTCTTTTATTATTATATTACTTTATTTAATGTAATTGGACGAGTAGATATTTTTATTAAGTAAAATATTTTGTGCAGATGAACACAAGATTCACAAAATCTCTGACAAACTTGTCATGGCAATATCTGGAGAGTCGGGCGACACGACACAGTTTTCAGAATATATTGGAAAGAATATTCAATTGTACAAGATGCGAAATGGCTATGAATTGTCTCCCAAGGCTGCAGCTTGCTTTACAAGAAGAAACTTGGCAGATTATCTCAGAAGCAGAACTCCATACTTTGTCAATATGCTTTTGGCTGGATATGACAATGATTCGGGACCAGAATTATATTTTATCGATTACTTAGCATCCTGTGTAAAAGTTCCTTATGCGACTCATGGATATGGTGGGATGTTCTCCATGTCAGTTTTAGATAGATATCACAAATATGGTAAGATACATTATGAAATAAATTGCCAAAAGATTAATGTCAGAAATAGAATCCTAGATAAATAGAGAAATGAATATGGATTTTTATCATCATCTGAAGCCATATTTGGTCCATTACATTTGGTCCATTCTAATTTTATAAAATGAAAATATTATAAACATACTCTATCAGAAGGTTAATCTAAAATTTATACTGTTGAATATGTATGCTCTAAGATGTTTTATCTTTTTTTTTCATTATTGAATGAAAGTGATCAAATGATGCTAACAATAAAAATTCATGCAAAAGAATAAACATATTATCTATATAAAACCAATTTTAATTTTTAACAAGCAGTGGCATTGTCCATCTTATAAGTACAATACAGCTATTTTCAATTAGATGGGTAACATCTAATCA